CCCCTGCCCTGCCGCCGCCGGGAGCTCGCAGCCCCGCTCGGGGCCTGCCCACCTCGCTGGGCTCCATCTCCGACCTCATCTACAGCGCGGCCATCACCAACCTGGGCGAGCTGTAGCCGTGGTGGGGACCCCCTGGGCACTGGGGACCCCCATGGCATCGCGGCCCCCACGGATTAGCGCCACGATTTCATTAGGGTGTGGAATTACCGCCGGTCCCGAAGGTCCCGAGGATGTCATCCAATATCCTAAATGCTGGTGCGGCTGCGGCGGGGGCAGCTCCCCATCAGCCCCCTAATACCGACTAATCTTTTGGAAAAAAATACCTTAATCTGGGGCCGTATCCACGGATGATTGTGGCACGGCCGCCCCTAATCCGCAGGCACGTTCGCAGGTGCCGGCAGATCTCCCCGTATCGGATATTAAACTGTGTTTCCACAGGGGCTTAGCTGCCATCAGAGCATTAATCACCGTGTCCGGCCCTGGCAGGGTGCCCAACCAGCAGGTGTCCAGATCTCCTGGGCCTGGAAGGGACAGCCTGGGTGCCCCCTCCCCACCATGCCTGCACTAAGCTGGCTCTGCTCTCCGCTCCGTGACACCCAAAAAGGCCCCAGGATGTGCATTAAGGTGCATCCCCTCCCTACCCCCAGAAGCTGGGTACCCTTTGGCAGAGGGTTGGGAGCACCATGCACCCCTCGCTGCTCCATCTACAGCTCCTGCTCCTCCCTGAGGCACCAAGAGCCACAGGGCCATGGCTCAGGTCATGCAGCTCCTGTGTGAGGACACTGAGCCGGGTGCTGACCCCAAAGTGGCTGCACCAGACTCTGTCATCCTCCTGAATGGATCTGTGTGGATGGGGAAAGGGCTCATCCCCAAACACCAGCTAGGTTGGGTGCTGCCATCTGAGCCTCAAGAGAATAACGGTTCCCAAAAGCAAGTGAGGGACCAGACAGAGCAGAGGGCAGTCAGAGGGGGGTTTTGACATGGGATGGAGCAGGATGTGGAATGCAGAGGGAAAGGAAAGATTCACAGCTCCCTGTGGTGTCTTTCAGATGTGTGTTTCACGTACCAGCAGACGTCCCCCAACATGAAGGAAGAAGATTACAAACACACAATGTTATTTATTTCCAGAATACAAGCACAGGAACTTCACAGGAGAACAGGGATGGTGGGAGCTGACGCCCCTCTCCATGCTGGGGTGGTCAGAGTCCACAGCCATTCCCTCTCCTGTTCTGCAGCTGCGGGATTTTCAATCCATAATTCATTTCGGGAGCAGGAAGCAAAGGACGAGCCTGAGGAGTGCAGCCATCTTCCCATAGCAGGAGCAGGTAAAAACAGATGGGACAAGACAAAACTGTCCCAAGTTAACAGCTCCTGGGGAGGACAAAAAGCCTCCAGCACGAAGGCTGCAGTTCATGGTCACAGTTTCCCAAGGTCCCCTTCGAGGGTCCGCACCATCACGTACAGCTCGGCCAAGCCCACCACTGAGGCCACAATGACGGCTGACAGGACACGCTGGGGACATAAAAGAGAGAGGGGTGACCCTGGGTGTGCAGTCGTGGTGCCACTCTGGGCAGCACAGTGTGCTGCAGGGAGGCCGTGCTCGCTCACCGCTGCCGTCTCTGCGAAGACGTACTGGCTGCCCAGGTAGGTGCAGGCGAAGGCGGCCACCACGGTGACAATGAAGTTGAAAATGGTGATGACAACGGCCTTCACGGAGCGCACTGGGGGAGAGAAGGGGGCAAGTGGTTGGTTTTAAGTAAGGCTGGGGAGTAGGGCTGGGGATAAGGTGTAATCATACTACAGAGTTGGCCCGGGGCCGCCTCAGCTGGGATACAGGAATCACGCAGGAGTCACACGCTTGGTGCCTCCAGAAATATTGGTAAGAATGACCACCAGGCTCCTTTATTCAAGGAACTCTTTAGTGTGTGAAAACCTTCTGGTGAGATATTTGGTCTGATGTCAACAGCTGGACATAGAACAGTTCCTGTGACTGTCCTGTCAGCAAACACTGCTGGGTGTCAGCAGGACAGGCAGCCGCTCACCTTGTCTCCCAAATTCAGCCAATGGCCCCTTCATCTCCTGAAAAAAGGGATTAAAACAACTTGTGATCGGTTGTATTTTAATGTTGATAATAACATGGTTATTGTGTGTGCAGAATAAAAGCAATGCCAATGCCCTGTGCTGTCCCCAGGACTCCGAGGTTCAGAGAGATTTTGGTGGGCTGTGGGGGAACAGCAGTTTCACTGTGCACAGGTTTCTCTGGGATTTTGTTTGTGGTCTGATTCAAGGCTGTTCGGAAGGGATTGTTTCTAATCAAACCACTTCTCTGAGTGGGAGCTTTTTTTTGCATGTGGGTTCTCTGCTGCAGGTTTGTCTCTTATTACAGACATGAAAGTGTCTCACTTTGTCACCTGTTTCACACAGCTGGCAGTAATGAGATGGTGTCAAGCTCTGTTGTCACATCAGGCATGGTTACACCATGATATCGGGGAGGGGTAGGGAAGATGTGATGAGCACACAGGTGTGGGAATACTGCTCTGCTCCACTGTTTGGAAAGAATGTGGCTGTTTAGCTCTGTTACAACCACCCTGGATCACAGATCACAGAATGGTTTGCCTTGGGAGGGACCTTAAAGACCATCTCATTCCAACCCTCTGCCATGGGCAGGGACATCTTCCACTAGATCAGGTTTTTCCAAGCCTCATCCAGCCTGGAGTGGCCAAGCTTGGCAGAGACCAAAGTCTGGAGGAAATGTGCAGGGACTTGAATACACAAGGATGTCAGGTACAGTGTGGAGGCATAACAGGATGGGATCACAAGGAATGCCAGCAGGAAGGGATGCTGGCTTGTCCAAACAACTACTGTGCCAGAAGATATCGGCTCTCTCAGGAAAGGAAGAATGCTTAAATATTACCTTGTTTTTTCAGCTTTTACCCTGACGAGATAATTTTAAAACTATGACAAAAATGTAAGCAGCAGGGATGCTCCCAGTCAAACATTTACCTTGGGTGCTCAGTCTCCCAGATCAGAATCTCAGATCTTTGGCACGGGTGAGCAGTTCCCAAAAGTCAGTATGTCTGTTCACCACCCTGTTAACCCTGTCCTACACCTGCCCTCAGCACCGCATCTGTTGTTCCTGGTGCATTTACAGCGTGCTCTCCTCCAGTCCCCGTCACATTCCCTGTGCACTGCACTCACTCTAAGGGGTAAATCTCCTTTGCTGTCAGGTTGCCACGTGTTTGAGGGATGAGTCCTGACAGCAGGCACTGCAGCAGCCCCTCACCTGGCCGGTGATGTTGCGGGTCATCCGCTGGTACTCCTCGTGTGCCAGCTTGGCCTTGATCCGCTCCAGCCGGGCCACCAGCTCGGGGTTCTGTGGGAAGCACAGACTCAGCGTAAGAACCGGGGGCTGCCGCCACCTCCTCCCGCGACTCATGTCCAGCCCTCACCTACCCGCGGCGGCACCGGCACTTCGGGCAGGTGGATCTCGCAGCCTTCCAGCAGCTCGTGTAGGTGCAGTGGGGACCCTGTGTGGGGTGCGGGGGGGAAAGCGCGATCACGGCGCGGTCACGGTGCGGTCATCGCCTCCCG